GGTTAAAACCAATTTTTTAAAAAACCAGATAACTTGTTGAAATATTAAGATGGCAGAAACAGGTAGCCCAGGGATTCAAGCAGGCCGCACTTTCTTTTTTTGGTTGTTAGAAGGTGCATCGGTCTCGTGACTTCGGAAGAATTTCGGCTTTCATCATGAGACGACATTATTCCTTCAACTCCCAGGGCAGAGTTTAAATGGTTTGAATTATTTTTTCTGGTTAGCGTTTTTTTAGCGAGTTAGCTTTTCTACGGGATGGGGTCGCTAACCCCATGCCCAACCCTCCTCCTTTACCCGCGCTTGGGACCGGCAGTAACTCTAGAAGAGCTACAGACGGAGTTATGTAAAATTTTATTTTGATCCAAATATTAATGATCAATCTGGCTATAGCTCAATTCAGTTGAAACCATTGTTATATCCCCTGGTGAATTATGAATGGTAAATCTGAGGTCTATTTACGGACAAATGTAATATGCCTATTTCCCATTGTATAGTTGTTAAATAACTGACCTAATCGTATTCGTGATTCATATTGCCGAGGCTGTTATCTGTGTTCTGGACTTAACGGGCTGGCTAGGCAGATAGGAAGGACCGAAATAGCAATCAAGACTGCTCGTACGATTTTATGTATCATTTGCGTCTGATCAATAAATTCATTCCTCTTTAATTGCACGTCCATATATATATCACGAATCCATACGTTATAACAACCACAAACCTATTCAATAATACTGGATAAACTTATTTTGTTTTCTGCAAATTTTCGTCTGTTCATCTTTTTTCTTATGTAAATTGAACCTAATTGTTGAGATTGAAGTCAGATTTATGTTTAACTTCTTTAAATAAGCTTGGTGGTGATTAGTTTAATCATACATGAAGGTCAATCTAGGTGTTTTATGATTTTTTGTAGTCTCATTCTGTCAAGCTCTAGTAATCACTCAGGTCTCTCACCGCAATAACACTATAACTAATAAAGCAACTAATAGATAGTCTATGAATTCCAAAGATTAATCGGCATTAAATATTCAACGACAGTTTGTAAGGGTTTGTCATTCGTTGTTGCTGGCATTCAGGAATGTAACTTGTTGGTTTTTGTTACCCTGTCTGCTTTTTGAAAGTATTGCCTTTATTTAGCAGCATTTCAAAACCTGTAGTATATTTGATATGCGACTAGCAGTGCTGGAATGTAGGGTACATCTTTCGTGCCATTTAGGACTCAGTGATGTTGATATTGAGATGCGAACCCGATCCACTCAGCATATGCATATGTAAACAGAGATTGGTTAATTGCAGTCTTAAATATCAGGAACGAAGAATTACAAGCCTTAACTAACACCTCCACACCAGCTGAAGAAGTTGTTATCTAACTGAACTAAGTAGTTCAGTGAGTAATGCACTGATGCTTGTAAGGAAAAGTAGTGAGCTCGAGTATCAGTATGAACATCAACAAAGGAATGCAAGTGCATCTATCTAACCCATCCTAAATGAAGTAAAATACAGAAACTGGATTTCATTGCTCACCAGATCCCAAACATATTAGACAATGAGTCTTAAGAAATAGTCTCAGTTACTAACACATAACTCTTCACTTGATTATATGCTTACCACAAATGGGGGTGCACATGCTACTTTTTATTCTTTTACTCACATTTATAAGTACTAGAACCAGAGATATTCTTGCTGAACTGTCAGTTTCCCAAATCATTAATTAGTTGTAATTTCATTAGTATATTCCCTAAAGTACGATTTTAAAAATTGTGACTAGTACTTTACTCAGCTTCAAAATTGAATGTGATCAATAAGATACCAAAGGCTATTTATTTCGTACATTATAATCATTTCCAGACACTAATTAATTTTACTGCCCAATAGTTGGTAATCGATTCATTACCCTTTTATCAATATTTTGTTTACTTATCATTCATTTTAAATGATAGCAAGAAATCAGATAAACATCCGTTAACGGAATTTCTTATCTCAAACATTCAACATCAGTTACAATGTTTACGCCCAAATCTTTTCAATCATATCATTCATACTGATTTTTTTAGTAGTATCATTCTAACTTATTCAAATATTATTATTATCAGAAGGGGTTTTGTGGAGAATTTAGTATTTTCATAGTTGAAAGCGTGAGTCAATTGAAGCTACACCACCATGGAAAACCTGGAAGCACTGGACGGCCGTTTCGCCCTATTATGAGACTCCTCAGCAGTGCGCATCCACGATGCCGCACTGAGGAGTCCCATAATAGGACGAAACGGCCATACATTGCTTCCAGGTTTTCTATGGCGGTGAAGCTTCAATTGACTCACGCTTTCAACTATTCAAATATGATTGAACGTTAAAATGCAACTTAATTGTTCACCTGTTTGTTAGAGATGTTCAAAAGACTTGACTAAATCTTCTTCACTGATTACAATGAAATGTTTTCGACTAATATTAAACCAGTAGGTGGCACATTTCAGATCCTTAAAAGAAACTCGCCAAACCTTATGCTGTCCCTTCAAATTTTAATTGAGAAAACTAGAAAAGCCACAGTATCCTACATATTATTTATCAAGTGGTTTTATACTACTTATAAGTAACTAAACTGTTTGATTAATTTTCTTCCAATATTGTACAGTGAATTTACTAATTTTAATCTTAAAATTTGTTACTTCAACCTTTAAGCAATATGTTTTCATTGTCATTTGGTCATCGTCTAGGCAACAAAATCCCATGACAATAAATCCATCCAATAGAGAAATACATACATATACATATCAATCTATGAAATGTGTAGACAGATTCATATAAGAAAGGTTAGTAAATGATAAATGATTTCTTTTTGCATACAAAATGGGAATAATATTGTGGATAACTTAACAAAAACAATTCGCCATTGTGTAACTGAGAGGATTTGTGAGCAGTTTTATCTTACGTCATGTCTTTAAATACAAATTTCCTATAATGAAGTAATGAAAATTTGAATTACATACTTGTTAATAAAATGATACTTATTTGATTGTTGTAAATTTCATCGAAGACTGTGATTCAGCTGGCGTATAAAGAAAAGTAAGAAGGGCTTGTACAATCTTCAATTGTAGTTAACATATGAGAATGCTGTAAGAAGAATATAGCTAAATGAACCAGGGTATGACTATAGTCCATTATTCATAATAATTAATAGCTTAATAACTTAATAGTTAATAATTTACCATTTAAAATCAGAAGGGGTTTTTGTGGAGATTCAGTATTTTCATAGTTGAAAGCGTGAGTCAATTGAAGCTAGACCACCATGGAAAACCTGGAAGCACCGGAAGGCCGTTTCGTTCTATTGTGGGACTCCTCAGCAGTGTTCTTCCACGACCTCGCCTCGCGAGATTCGACTATGAAAATACTAAATCTCCAAAAAAACCTTTCTGATTATAATCATATGCTCACTAGTGACTGACTTCGCGAGGTAAATCCTGGAGTTCTAGTGAGAAGCAGTGACCAGTGGATTTCAAACCACATCTGTTGTGATATAGGAACTCACTTAAGACAATTGGTGAATGTTGCTCAACTTCGTGGATTGGTTGAAGTTAGGCATTAACACCATCGGATGCCAGCTCATTGCTCTATCGGTTAAGTGCTCTGGTGCGAGACTGATAGTCCTGGGTTCGAACCTCGCGCGGAGAGGTCGTGAGTTCACACTGCTGACTAGTCCCACAATAGAACGAGCTGGCCGTCCAGTTCTTCCAGGTTTTCCTTGGTGGTCTAAATTCAATTCACTCACTCTTTCAATCAAATTTTAAAATTTTATATCCGGAGTTGCAAACCTCTTGAGTGAATTGTTCACAATATTTGTAATGGGGTTTAAAATCACTTGAGGTAAGGAAGATGATTCGTTCTTCATCGCCTTACAAGTTTTGAACGTTCATACTGTTATGAATTCAAATTTAGTCTATATTATTAGCTCAATCTCATCATTTGATCATAGAGTCCACTAATTAAGAATTTGTTTTTGTCTACCTCACAAATGACCACCTCTGCAACTAATATCACCACTTACTGCCTATATTGGACAGGATTCGAGTTCCTATTGGTCCAACGTAGATCCTTTTATCTCCAATAACCAGTTGGAAGACAAGCTCAGAAAGCTAATAAACTTTCTACATTTATAGCTCAAAATTTATAAATCAATAGATTTTGATTACATAACCACAACGTACCACAAATAAGAAATAGTAATTTGTACATAACTAAATTGCTAGTGATAACTGAATAATTGTTTAACGACTACTTCAATAAAACATATATTGATAGTTAATAACTCGAATGAAACCTTATCATTAAAACAATATGAAAATACTGTAGACCGATTTTTTTTTAATTAACTACATTGTTAGAATATGTGTGGTATTTCATTGTTTCGTCATTTCCAAACAACTGCCCACATTCAATGATTGTGGATTATTTTCAGTGTTTAAGTTTGTTTGAATTATCATTAGTACCAATATGACCTCATATCCCTTGCCAATCAATTTGTTAATTCCGTTTCACTGTACTAAGCTTAAATTATGCGATTTAAATTAATACTAGCTTACACTAAGTCTGATATAGTTTGTAACTGACTATTTTCTTTAATGTAGACAATTTCTTCAGTGATTTATTTGAAACTAAAGCCATAATACACTCTAAAGACTAATCGAATCGTAGTGAACACAATGAAATTATACTTCAACAGAATATCAAGTTAAGCTTATTCGATGTGAATCAAAATTGTTGAAATAAAAGTTGTTAGTTTTTCCGTAAATTTATCATTACGTAATATTAGAAATTTACTAATCTGTTACATGTACAATGTGTACTATTGACCTCATACGGAATAGATTTAGAGTGAGTTTGTGTGTTTTTTGATGGAGTTTTGTTCCCTGAGCTGAATATTTTGGTCGTGGAACTTTCATCGTCCTCCTGAACGACATCATCAGCACAAACGTCGGGTAGAACTGTGTGTTTTATTATTGAACATCTTATCAAGAAACCTTATATGATGATGATGATGACGATGATGATGATGATGATGATGATGATGATGATGATGATGATGATGATGATGATGATGATGATGATGATGATGATGATGATGATGATGATGATGATGATGATGATGATGATGATGTTGATGATGATGATGATGATGATGATGATGATGATGATGATGATGATGATGATGATGATGATGATGATGATGATGATGATGATGATGATGATGATGATGATGATGATGATGATGATGATGATGATGATGATGATGATGATGATGATGATGATGATGATGATGATGATGATGATGATGATGATGATGATGATGATGATGATGATGATGATGATGATGATGATGATGATGATGATGATGATGATGATGATGATGATGATGATGATGATGATGATGATGATGATGATGATGATGATGATGATGATGATGATGATGATGATGATGATGATGATGATGATGATGATGATGATGATGATGATGATGATGATGATGTTGATGATGATGATGATGATGATGATGATGATGATGAGGAGGAGGAGGAGGAGGAGGAGGAGGAGGAGTATAAGGGTGAGGATGAGTATGAGGATGAGGAAGGGGAAGGAGGAAATACTTTTCAGCTACCCTCATTTTAATATAAAACAAAAATCTGTTGTTTCTCTAATGTTATTATTTCCTTTTTCACAACTTTCTTGAGTGTATTTTAGATTTAAATGAAATAAACTATGATGGAATTATACAGTCGTCAACTATTAGTTGAATAATACAGATTAACTACAATCGATTGCAGTACCATTTATGTTTATGTTAAAAAAAATAGATATATAATAATTGAATCATGTGGTATATAAATATTTTCAATCAAATCAATGTAAATAAAAAGGGTTTGTTTAACTGGATACAATATGTATATATATCTATTGTCTTACTTATTTATTCTATTGACCAAATTGTTAGATTGATATTGAAACAATAACAAACAATAATCAACAGTAATGCTGAAGTTAATGTCAGAAGAAACTAGTCTGAAATTAATGACTAATTTTAGTCATGTGATTTGCTATGGTTATTATCTAATAAACATTTGCATATATATACCAGTCAGTCAGTCAGTCAGTCATAACGTAGAACTTTGCACGTACGTACATCAGTTCGAGTTGCCATACCAAATTAGCACAGAGATGAAGTTGTCGATTCAAATCCCATAGTGGTAGAAGTAGTAGGAGTATAAGCAGTAATCTGAAAGATTAGGGTTTGAAGATGTTATTCAAGAAGTATAATCCAACAAAATGAATTTGGAAAGAGAAAAAGGATAGGGACATGAAGAATTCAGAAGATTAGAATTTGGGAGAACACAAAGATTGTATGCACCTTCACCATTGCAAACGATTTTGAGTTATGTCATTCAAAGTCTCTAACCATCGGTTGCTATCATCTCGCGGATCCCAACCAGGTAGTCAACACCTACCAACATGGCTCAGTTCAATTGTCAATGACTTCATGGATTTGTGCCACGTTTTGGTCTGGCCGCCTCTAGCATTCTTTCAACCTACTCCTACACCATGGAACATTGCACGTCTGGGTAGTCGGTGGTTGGGCATACGTAACACGTGTCCCAGCCATCTACACTGATGAAGTTTCACCACTTCATCAAACGATTTGCCATCCTTACCTAGTACCCGTTTCTTAACAACTGCATTACTTACCCGGTGATCCCAGGATATACGAGCAATGCTTCGAAGACATCTATGATTGAATACTAGTAGCCTACGAATATCCTCTACTCTTACCGGCCATGTTTCACTGCCATAAAGTAGGACGGGGCGAACTGCTGCACAGTAAACCCGTCCTTTGGTTGCTAGACGGATATCTCGCCTATGCCATAAATGGCGCAAGTTGGCGAAAGATAGACGAGCCTTCTGTATCCGTGCTGAGATTTCGTCACACACCAGACCACAAGAGCTGATGAGACTCCCAAGATAAGTGAAGTGGTCTACACGCTCAACTACTTCACTCCCTATCATTAGTTCAGGTGTCGCTGCAACCCAATCCAGGAGATTGAGATGATGAAAGTGTTATCGCTAAAAGCACGTCAACGACAAAGTTAAACAAGAATGGAGAGAGTAGACAGCCCTGACGAACACCACTCGAGGTAATCAGTTCTGGTGACAGTTCGCTATAGGCTCTAACTCGACCATTTGTGTTCGAGTAGAGAGCCTTTATGAGGTTAATGTACTTCTTTGGTACTCCTTTCACTGACAAACACTGCCATAGAACCTCACGATCAACGGAGGCAAATGCCGCCTTAAGGTCAAGAAATACTACTATTGTGGGACGTCTGAATGTATGTCTATGTTCTAGGACCTGACGTAGGGTGAATATCTGATCTATACAACCACGTCCAGGTCGAAAACCAGCCTGATTTTCTCTAGTCTGCTCTTCACGAGCTTTGGTTAGGCGCCTAAGTATTATTGAAGCTAATATTTTAGACACTATATTAGTCAAACTAATTCCTCTGTGATTGTCACAGGAGGACTTTTGTCCTTTCTTATAGACTGGCACAATCAGTGATTGGGACCAGTCAGATGGGATTACGTCCAGTTCCCAGATTTTACCTAAGACCTCAGTCAATCTCGTTGTTAGTACTGGACCACCATCCTTAAAACTCTCAGGGGTCAACCTGTCAGGGCCTGCTGCTCTCCCTCGCTTCAGATTTCCTATAGCTTTTTCAACCTCACAGAGGGTTGGAGGACTTACATCAATTTGCCATTCAGGACGACTGGGGATCGTGGGTAATTGAAGTGTGGCTGAAGGCCAGTTGAACTGATCCCTAAAGTGTTCTGCCCATCGATCCAATCTCCTGGATTGAGAATGAATAATATGTCCATCTTTTTCCGAGATAGTTTCGCTGACAGTTGGATTTCTAATACCGGTTTGTTTAACAAGTCTGAACAGCTTTCTGCTGTTGCCTTAATGCCGCTGCCTTTTCCATCTCTCTTGCTTTCGCCACCCACCACTGTTCACGATCATTGCGTAGGCTTCTTATTAGCCTTCGCTTAAGTTGACTCCGCTCTTCATTATGTTCAGAGCCAGATGGGATGAGTTTTCGAACATCTATCAGTGCGGTAGATGCTGTTGAGATCCAGTGTTTCTCCCTAGCCTTATGGTTTACCTCACTAGCGGATATCACCGCTGTTTCCACAGCTTTTCGGATGTCATTCCACGCTGACTCGGGGTGGGCACAACTTACATGTCTGTTTAACCGTTTTTCTAGTTGTTCCTGAAATATATTCTTAGCTTGTCTATCATTAAGTACAACCCTAAGAGGTTTCCTTGCAGTGTCCTTCCTACGACCAGTAAGACGCAAACAGATACGTGCTCGCACTAGAGCATGATCTGAATATAAACATATGCTCCAGAGTGAGCGACAGTCTTCTATCGAGCCCCTCCATCGGTGGCTGATAGCGATGTGATCTATTTGGGTCCAACGTTGGGACGAATTCGGAGGTCGCCATGTCAAAAGATGTTTTTCCTTATGCTTAAAGTTAGTATTTGCAAGAAATAGGCGGTTATCTGAGCATAGCTGCAACAGACGGTCGCCATTATCTGTTCTTTGAACCATCACACCATAAGATCCACCCAGGTGTCTTTCCCTTTCACTTAGTTTACCTACTTGAACATTAAAGTCACCTGCTACTATTACTACATCAGAACGCCTAGCTTCTCGGAGAAGGTCAGAAAGTTTCCTGTAGAACTCATCTTTCATATCGTCTGAGCTGAAGTCAGTGGGAGAGTAGGCATAGACGACGAAGAGGCAACGACGAGTTTCCCTATCTTTCCGAGTTCTTAATGATCCGTTTAGTCAGACAGCGTAAGGACGACTGTCTACTGGGATTCAGTCTAAAAGGGCTAGTTCTGCCCTAAGACTTAATGCTATACCTACTCCAGCTAGGCCACGATAAGCAGCATCAGGGCTTCCAGATACACGTAGCGTGTATCGAGATGGTTCTTTATTATGACATGGTGAGGTCAAATAAGTGACGCTTCTCGGATCTTGCATATGCGTTTCGGAGACGCAGCACACATCGATGGTGCGAGACTCTAAAGTCCTAGCTAAGGAAGCCTGTTGTCCTATTTGGCACAATGTTCGGACATTAAAAGTTCCTACATGTAGTTTACAGCGTGGTTTCAGGAGACCAGGAATAACGTTCCGTGTACTCAAATCGTTTGCCCTAGAGGTGCGAGGTGATAAAAAAACGTGTGAAGGATTAGTCGTGGAGATAAGAGAGTTATAAGAAGGTGTAGGAAGAATTTGTATGTGACCAACTTGGTCTCGTGTGCAGTTACGGGTATGAGGGCTGATACCACTTCCCGGCTGACCACACCGTGGAAGGGTATTTCTTGAGGGACCTGAAAAAGAAGTTGGATTAGTGTTGATCATAACGACCGCAGTGCCCAAGGGAAAACTGCTTGAGGCCGGTCACTCACGGCCTTTTTGTGGAGGATTTTGGACGTGTTAGCTCCGTTCTTCAAAAGTCCTTACCGCCGGAGACGGAAATCCGTGGGATAAGGCGAGGTGTGCATTTTTAGGGTCAACCTTTTCTAACCCCACCCCACCTTGAGGGCAGCATCGCTGTTATGCTGGTTTTCTGAAGGAAACACCTTACTGCCGTCACACCTCTGTACAGTCGGCAGTACGACTTCGCCTTCGGACCTTGGAATTGCTGCTTTTAGTCTTACCGCTCTTCAACCGACCTGTCTGGCATGTTAGGACCTTGAGGAACGATTGTTCCAGCTAGCATAGCTCGATTGGATCATCACGATAGGCAAGCCCGACCACCACGTCGAGATAGCAACAACGGTCGGGTTTGGATATATATATATATATATATATATATATATATATCACACGCAACAACAAATGCAGGAGAAGACGACCAGTGTAGCAGTAGCCTCAACAGCAGTGGGTCTCAATATAAACAAAGGGAAAAGCAAGATTCTCCAATACATTACAGCATGCACCAATCGAATTACACTTTAAAGAGAAACTTTTGAGGATGTGGAAACCTCTACATATCTGGGCAGCATAATCGATGAACACGGTGGATCTGATGCATATTTCAGGGCGAGGATCGGCAAAGCAATAGCAGCATATTTGCAACTGAAGATAATCTGGAACCCAAAACAATTGTCTGTCAAGCAACATCAAGATCATTATTTTCAATGCAAATTTCAAGACAGTTCTACTGTATGGAGCGGAGACGTGGAGAACTACGAAAGCCATCATCCTTAAGATACAAGTGTTTATTAACAGTTGTCTACGCAAAACACTTCGGATCCGTTGACCAGATTCTATCAGCAACAAGTTACTGTGGGAGACAACAAACCAGATCCCAGTGGAGGAAGAAATGAGGAAGAAGCGCTGACAGCGGATAAGACACACATTGAGGAAATCTCTCAATCGCGTCACAAGACAAGTCCTCATATGGAGTCCTGAAGGCCAAAGGAGAAGAGGAAGACCCAAGGACACATCACGCCAAGAAATGGAGACAGACATGAGAAGAATGTACAAAAACTGGACAGAACTAGAAAGGAAGGCTCAGGACAGAATTGGTTGGAGAATGTTGGTCGGCGGCCTATGCCCCAATGGGAGTAACAGACGTAAGCAAGTAAGCATATATATATAACATAAATTATTAACTTGAATTTAGTGGGATGAAACAACCGTGTAGTAGTTTCTGGTTATCGATAGGTCTGTGCTATGAAACATCAAATTCAGTAATCTTCTTAACAATTTAAAATTCAAGTTATCATTTGTTTAATCGTAAATAACTTTGAACTGTGATTTTCAGAGTTCTAATTAGAAATTGTAACTAATGTAGCTCAGCGTTGTAGAGTGTGGGACAAATATCACCAGAGAAGATGGATGATGATCGCACAAAATCCTTAATCGACTGGAGTCAGAGATGCAAACTTGTTGGTTGAATACTAACTTCTTTGCCTTTAGGTTCTGTTCAGTGCTTTCCAGTTTCTAATGATTGTTTAACCTAAAGTCAGTTAAGTAAGAAGATATTCTACGTTTTTTCAATTCTAAAAGTGTTCTGATCTGGTTTCGCACTTCAAAATGTTTTCATTCATAACTTGGTATGAAATACAACTTAGTAAGCGATATATCAGACGGTCAGTTTGATGTAATTAAGCTTTTGAAAAATCCTATTAATCATGCATTTTATATTATTTTTCATTTGGTTGACTTAAAAGTCACTGCTTCGTAAGTTGAAATTGAAGTTCACCATTGGCATTCAGCTGTTGCTGACTGAGGAGTTCACTGCTTTTCCATAATGTTGACAAATTTTGATAATTAGGCAAGAGATTTTCATGAAATGATAAAACTACATAAATGACTCACTCATTTTTTTCATTTTTTTAAGGGGTTGACAATTAGTTAACTATCTAGTAGCATTGAAAAAGTTAAGATTAATCACATTCTTACTCTTAAATATCTAGCTAGTAGCACAATGCTTTGGATTTAATAAAATTCGTAACAAATGGTGTAGACATCTCAGTCTTATAGGAGAACGTTCACGCCTTGAATTAGTAACTAGTAATGTCTATGATAGGCTCGGATTCAAATTAATTAGGAAGTTTTAGCCACCTCAGGTTTGTAGTAGAACATATATTCGAAGGTCTCTTATACTGTCCATCATGACCAACTTTAGTTAACCGATTATTAAAAACCACGAAGCGTTGAATACCTGTTTTTTTCAACACGGGACTCCTCTTCAGTGCCTATCTACGCCCTCATGTGAGATCGAATCCAGAACACTTAAGTATCACAAGCAGTAAGTAGTCATTGGACAACTGAGCCGGTATCCGGTGGTTTCGATCTAATGTTTGCAAACATTCGTTGAGTTTTAGGGACCTTTTTTGGGCAATTACAAAAAAGAACACAAAACGAATTCTCATGTAGGTTTATCAGAATTAGTGTATTTAAAGAGTAGTCCTACATAATTCACAAAAATTGAAATAGGATACCTAAAGAATTTTGATCAGTTTATTTTGCCATATGACTCTCGATTTCTCTGACTAATATAACTGAAGCTTGTGTTCGTGAAGAATTAATAACATTCAGGAGAATAATTGAACAGCTTTCCTATCCTAGTCTGCGACTTTTAAGTAATCGATATTCACGATTCCGTTTGGGACCAATTCAAGGATCTTCAATTCCTCTTCAGTATTCTGAGAATTGGACATAATCATTGATTAGAAAACTAATGTTGTTTACTTAAAAGATTTGTGAAGGTTAATGAAATCTGAAGTTGGTTTTATGGTCAGTCGATATCAACTGGGAGGATTAAGGAAGTTACTTACTTCCTCAAGCTTTTTAACCGTAGCACAGCATAGCCCATCGATCAGGACTAAGCGACCAACTCCGTCCTAGATTCTTTTTTAAAATGCTGTCAAGTGTTGTTTATTATTTTCATGTCTGCTTCAAATTACTGACTTAATGTGTTCATCCATCTTTCTATTTATCTTCCCCATTCACAATTTCAATTTATCACTTTCCTCATTATGCAATTTGATGATTTCTGTAGTGTATTTTCTATCCAATTCCAGTGTTTTTTTCCTCATTTCCTTTTCAATTGGAAGTTGGTTTTTTATTTCTCATAGTAGTCTGTTATTCATGGTAAGAGGTCAACGGACATTGAGTATCTTGTATAGACAATTGTTTAGAAATAATTGCACTTTTTTGATGATGTTTGTAGTAGTTCTGTAGATTTCAGCTTCATACAGTAGAACTGTGTTTATGTTCATATTGAAGATTGAGAGTTTGATATTGTTTGGGTGACAGATAATTGTTTTGATTTGCATATATTGTTCAACTGTAGGAATGCTGCTCTTTCTTTTCCAATCATCGCCTTCACATCAGTGCATCAGATTCTCCTTATTGATTGCTGATACCGTTCAGGTATGCAGCAGTTTCGACCAGGGTTTCGTGTAAACCCCCTCCAACCACCATCTTATCCTAACATAATGCACCTATTGTCGAGCCACCTAGACTAGTGGCCACATTGCAACTTGATCGATAGCATTCGATCAGCATTGAGAAGGACTTGACACGCATGACATTGATCACTACCCAGTGATCAATCAATTGTGATTACATCTCAGTCCTACAGGAAATCAGTCATGGCTCGAATAGCTCACTAGTAACGTCTCTGACTGTGAAGCTGGGTGACACGGGATCCAATCCGTCAGGGAGCACCAGTTCCCTCAAGATTACAGATACACCTTGCCGACGAGTGCCAAGTAGCACGAAACCCGGGTCCAGGGTTTCCTGTTGACCACCTCCAACCACCATCTTATCACAGTTTCGATCTCTTACGGAGTTTCTCCATGAAGTCTTATTTAGTTCACATTCGCCTGGAGCTCTTCTAGGATTACTGCCTGTCTCAAGCACAGATAAAGGAGCAGAGTTAGACATGTGGTTAACAACACTATCTCACAGAAAAAGACCTTACTAAAAAAAGATTTCTGAAGTACTTTAGAACTTTTACATTCTAGTTATGAAACAACAACAATATGTATAATTTTCCATGTCAGTCAATTTATATTGTTATATTTTCATTTAGCTTATAATTTATGATTGTGCTATTAAACTTCAACAATATTTTACCAATAACTATTAAAAATAATGGTCAATCAGTCAATTACAACGAAGGACCAGGCACATATATGCATCGGTCCACGTTGTCAGACCTCGTTCGCACAACAAGATGAACACCAAATTCATAGAAGTAGTTCATTTATTGGTGGTAATATATAAAAGAAAGGTTGTATATAAGGATATAGTACAGGAAGAAAGACAGATATGAAGCAATTTTAATCTCAAGGTTTAACGAAAGATAAAGAGTGTATTCACCTACGCCATTGTGATCGATTCTGAGCCATGTCATCTAGAGTCTCCAACCATTGATTACGGCAGTCACGCAGACTCCAACCAAGTAGTCTGCATCGACCAAGTAATGTTAATAATAATAATAATAATAATAATAATAATAATAATGTACTACTCTACAATATAACTCATTTTATAAGAAAAGAAAAAGACAACAACAACAACATCAACAATTGAAGATTAAATAAATCACTTTTCAAATAAGAATGATTCAATTTTGTGTCAAAATTTTCTTTTTATCTAATTTTATTGTTTATGATAAAACCAGCATCAACTTGTTCATCACTTTAAAAAAAATTATAATTAATAATCGATTTTTAAAAAAAAAAGAGTTTACTAGCATACTTATTTGGCTACATTTAAAGTGACTATTCTGCAAAATAACATCTTGGCACAACTGGCAACATAATTGTGATCTGATCGAAATTTTAATGATTAATTTTGTATTGATTGGAATCAAAACAAAAAAAATTTTTTTCTTCTTTTGAATTTCGATAAGATAATTGTTTTTCTTTTATTGAACAGAATAATGATTAGTATATTATGTATAAATAGTAATGATTATAATTACTAATTATAATATAAACTAAATATAAAGTAAAAAAAAAGAAAGAAACAAGATTAAACCTTAGATTGTTAAGCAAAGATGGATAGTGGCTGGCAGTGGAATCCAGGACGCGCGTTTCATCCTCTTTGGGACTCGTCAGCTGAATGTACCTGCATCTCAGAGTTTGATGTTCACTCTGGGACTCTATTAAGAGCACACCCTCTTTACATTTGCTCTTTTGACAGTTGTCTTTTAGCTTGCATCTTTATCAATGGATAGTTTTTAATAACATCCTTAGAGATATGTTGGGTCTGAGACATTGCTTGCTTACGACATTGAATGATCGTTTTATTAAATCATGAATTGACAATATTTAGAAACGTTGATCATTGAATTCTTACTTTATGACTTAATAGTATAGATCTTAATGAGAGATCTGTGGGCCTTGGATTTAATTGCTTCATAAAAAAAGGATTTATCAAGAATATATATTTCTCATCTAAACATTAACATACGAAGTTCAGCAACAGGATCTTTTTTTCAACGAATTTATTATTCAGCTATATATATATATATGAAAATTTATCAAAGTATTAGTTCCGTCAGGACATATAAATGAAGAATAAACATGATGATGTAATAGAAAGATTATAATGCTAGATTATTATATTGATTGTTTTGATTGATACAATAAGATCTAGGTCGATGGAATTGCGCACAATCTGATTTTATTATAGCAAATAATGTAGGTGATTAGGAATTTCTATCTACTAAATTGTGTGTCACTGATCTCTAGGCAAGTATCAATTGATATGAAATTTAGTCTCATTCATTCTTATTGATTATCTTTAGTTAACTTACTTTAAATGAACTAAACTACAATATCAAATCACTTAGTTTAGTGACCGGTTTATTAACTTCATAGATATAATTCATCCATCATTAATAATTGGACAACATGATACTGATTGCTGCTATATAGTGACAGATTGATGTAATCAATTTAAGTTATTTGTGATCTAAATAAATTAGAAGAAAATTCTTTGTTTGCTAAATTATTGGGTGTGAATTACAATCTCTGTATACAAACATAATTTCTTTCAAGGTGGCAGGTAGACCTCTAGAACTTTCTACCACTTCTCTACAACCATAGAACAATGTTCAGAAAAATTTCAAATTTTAGTGGCCAAATATTAAACTTGATTAATATCATTCAACTAGCATTAAGAGTGTAGACGATGCAAAATTAATCACTCGCACTTAGATCTTAATAGATTTTAGGTTTACAAAGCTTAAACATACTCTTCACATGTACGTAAAATTCAGTTTCCCTAACTTTGAATAGAAAATGATTTTATGAAGATAAATTTTAATATAATATGGTATCTCTTAAGGGGAATATGATAGTCAACCGTAAAGGATTGTATATAAACAGCATGACTAGTTTCAATAATGGGACAAAACTTATGGTTGATTTGATCCTATTCCACCGGAATTTGATAAGTATACATGTTAAATTTATTTGTTTAAGTTAATATGACATTTTAATATTTTGCAAGATTCAGTAAATAGAATGAGGTCAAATATCGGATAGATATTTAAACTGATTGTAATCTATCTTCTACATGATTTAAAAAGGTCAATAAACTAATTCTTCATAATTCATTTAGTAATGTTTGTTTGAATCTTCTCATTGATGTTTAGGTCTGCAATTGATCAGTTTCTTGTTGGTATATGTGCATTCTGTGCATATTGCCTCGATATTGCCTTAATTCACAAGCATTATAAGCAAAAATGGATAGTGGCTAGTAGTGAAATACAGAACGCGCGTTTCGTCCTTTTCGGTAATCGTCAGCAGGATGTACCTTAATTTTCTCAGAGTTGATGTTCACTCTGGGACTCGAATCCAGTACCTT